GTATTGCTGAGGTGGTGAGGCGGAGTAGAAACTGCAGTCCATTCGGAATGAAGAGAAAGACCTCTTGGATGGAGAAGCAGGGGCTTCTACTCATGACATACCAGCAATTTACTGAAGAAATCATCATAGTTTCGAAATGTATTCTTACAGCGAACATAAGTAACATGGCCCAGTAATCCAATGTCACCCGTGGTTGTGTAGCTGAGTTGTAGTGTATCATCACGATGCGCACGACCCGATTTCGAATCCCATTGGGGGTGGTGATAAGACCCAGGCAAAGTCGAAAACATTTTAAGCGGCAAGAGTAAGGCTCGAAACCCATTAATTCGATAAGCAAGTATGTTTCTCGTTTATAAGTAGGCTTTCGAGATCAATTATGTATATATATATAAATAAATTGATCGACTTGTAGTCTAGAAAACATACTTGTAAACGAGAAACATACTTGGTTATCTAATTAGTAGATTTCGAGACTTACCCTTGCCGCCTAAATTACATTTGTTTCGTATAAAGGGGTATGAAGAAGAGATGCGTATGTCGATTTAACCATAATTTGATGGTGGATTTCCTTCAGTCTGCTGTCTCTTACTTTTATTGCTACCTTCTGGTTGATGCAGTCTTCGAAACACACTCCTCCGGCTGCAGTGGAGACATGCTGAGACTGGATTTGTCATTTCCGTTGGCATGTATCATCAGTACTAGAATGCATTTGTACAACCATTTCTAGCTAATACATAGTCCAGAAGCCCAGGCTGTTTCTCGCTGATAGCCACAAATACTCATTAAAATGCAACTCCCAGGAGGTAAGGAATGCCTTAATGCGACAATTTTATAGGTAAATAGGCTTGATCTCATGTTTCTATCCGTACGAAATCTCATTGATCTATCCGATCTAGAGATCAAGGTTTAGTTACAATTAATTTGTCAACTTTGATCTGGATAAAAGGATTATTTTGATTGCGTAATGCCGGCCAGTAATATCGGGCGAAATCAGCGTATGAAAAATGTGACTCTACTCGTAACAAAAACAACGAGACATTTCAACATCCTCTCTCTCTTTTTCTTTTGTAGAGGAATAGAGCACAAGCAGTTCCTACCCATCTTTCTGATACTCGGCGTTTGTTCAGGCTGTTTGACTCGGTAGCCCCTTACGATTTACAGCAACCGTGACATAATCAGCTAATTGAATCTATCTTTCTTCTCGATTTTACCATGTTCTCAACCGATTTTGACCTTTGAACCCGACAGCCTCTAGAAGCGCTTTTGATATCAGCCGTCCTTGGGTCAATGGGTAGCTGATCTCCCCAACATAATTTCGAAGCAACTCTTCTCTCTAAAGGTGTACATAACCGAATAAATTGCCAAAGTTTCAGGTTAAATATTTGGCTTCCTCACTTTCGATAAGAAAATGAAACTCGATATAAGGTTCCCTAACCTGTCCAATATTAAAAGCGAAGCTTACTTTTGTTCACAAATTGATTGATATATTTTTAATTAAGCCTTATTGATAATTGGAATAAGCTACATCTGAATGGTTCCTATCAGCCAACAAACTCTCAATAACAGTTCACTTGAAACTTCCAACTTTTGTTTTGCAACTACGGTTGTAGATAAAGGTTAGACTAAGATCAGGCAACACACCATTCCTAAAGACAAAGTTATCGCTAACTCCGCCTTCTTCCAATCTCCTGTTCATTAGAAATTTTTGCCCAAGGATTATTGTGCCAATTTTTCTCCCTGTCTTACCAATATACTTTTGTTTGCTGACCCCGCATGCTATGCAGTAAGCTCCCGAGCAATCCAATTTGTCCACCCCCTCATGTTTCGTGGGTAAACTAAGGAAGAGTGATTCTTTTCGTGGTCAATTGAATATTTTATTTTCTCACTACTGGGCATAGTTTTTGTTTGCATGAAGGGAGGCATATCCACTTTTGTGAGTCTTTCTCCATCCTTACTGTTCTTCCATAATCCCTGTCCTGCCATCGGCTTTTCATGGCCGATATATTTCTTTGTATTACTTTGCATGGCTAACCGTTGCCGAGTCACTTTGTCTAATTCCTCATCCCAGAATTCAACGTCAGTTAATCGCAGGTTTCTGATGCACATGCTCCTGATTATTCCTATTCTTAGCCTGTAGTCGTGATGACACTGAAAATTGCGTATTATTCCGCCATATGATTTCTTTCTGAACAACCTCCTCTTGCGTGTCCCATTTGAACGAATGACTTCAACATCCATGAAAGGTAAACGCCCCTCCTCTACTTCCATTTCGAACTTGCTTGTTTCATCAATCTGGTTTATAAACTTCAGAAAATCTGTTAGTTTTTCGCTTCCATGTGACCTGAAGTTGTCGTTCAGGTACCAAATGAGCACTCATGGCTGTAACGGTGACATCTTGAAGTTCTCTTCTGATTTGTTCATGTGCAAGTCTACCAAAAGGAAGTATAAATATTTGTCCTTATTGTCTAGTTGATTAGTCAGGACTTCGGGCAAGGTGAGTCCAACTAAGTCGCTATGACAACACAACCAAGTTGCGAAAACAGGGTAAACCCACTTTCGGACAAGGATAGCTTGTGTCACCAATGAAGCCTAGAAAATGGGGCGAATGGATGCAGCAAACCTGAGTGGCAGGAAAAACAAGTGTCTTCTGCTAACAGACGTTGAAAGCATGTATATGGGGCCAAGATGGGTGGGTCTCAAAGCCCTACTTATGAACGAAAAATATGTATACTAATGTTAGTAGGTCCGTGCTCGGTGGGCGTCGATCATCGGGACTAGAGAATGTTAGAACGTGATCGAGTATGCATTTGGATGGGACATCAATTGCTGTGAAGTATTGAGAAATAGGAGGCAAACAAACGTCACTTGGGATAAAACAGAGAGGTCAGCAACCCAGAAGAGAGCCTTACATTGCCGTCCTGGCTAGTCTGGGAAAGGATTGGAAAATTGGTGGCTTCCCTCGCCAAGATCCAGTCGTGCGTGTGGGTGTATCTGAATTCAAGCACACTATGAAGTTCAACACATAAAAATGGTATATAGAATAACACCGACACTCACTTCGGTTATGTTCTAATTTAGAGAATCTTTAGACCCTTTAGAAATCGAGTTTTTCTTAATATTTTATGGCTATTTCATGGCGTCTTAGTAGAGGCCACTTGCTTATCCATGCAGAAAACGGCCTGCTTGGCCATCTAGTTTTGATAGACACATGCTCCGTTTAGGGCAAAAAAGAAAATGGTCTCAAGCTCAATGTTGTGCTTGGCTAGAAAAATCCACATTTAAGAGTTAAATAGTGAAATAAATCGACACTAACGCTATAAATGACCCTTTGGATAAAAGATGAAAATGGATAAAATATATCTCTTGTCGATAGATAGACAAAAAGGAAAGAATAAAAGCAGGAAAATCTAGGAGTAAAGGTAAAGAAAAGTGAAGGGAATTATAGGGCAAACTACGGAAGGAAAAAAATATACAAAATAATAAAAGGAAATAAAAAAATACATGGGGAAGGGTATAAAGATGCAAAAACAGAGAAGCAAGGAAAGTACATAGGGAGAGAAAACATATAGAATCGAAAAGAGGAAAGGAAGAGGGATAACAGGTAAGAAGTAAATAAAAGGGTGAAATACAGGACAGAAATACTAGAGCAAGAAGTCAGGAAGAAGAGAAAGAAGGAAAAGAAGAAATAAAGAAGAATGGACAGACAAGAACTGGAACAAAGTTACAGAGAAGAAAGTGAGGGGAAAAGGAAACCAGGAAACGAAACCAGGAAACGAAATGAATAAAAGGATATAAAAATGGAAAGAACCAAGTGGAAGAAGGAAGGAAAGCAAAAAATAGAGGAGAGAAGGGCGAGGTTAAAATGGCAAAGGAAAGGACAGTAGGATAGAACGAAAAACAAAGCAAAAGAGAAGGGAAGGAGGCAAGATAAAAGATAATAGCGTTGTTCGAAAAACAGTTTTTCTACATAACAGCGAAGGTTTCTTGATCTGACTCTGTGCGTCATTTGACGGATGAAGGCATAGAAAACGTTTCGCGAGAATGGCTTGGGCTCATTAGGCCGTCGTCAGAGCCCAAAGTCTATCTTCCATCAGCTCACGCTGAGACCAACCCGAGGAAGCCGCTCCTTTCGACTTGTCCTATAAACCCAAATGTCCACTACATCTCAAGCAGGTTAAGCGTAACTGCCCCAAAAGTATCTTGGGCAAAAGGTTGGCTCGACTTTATCTCATCGGAGAGCGAATCAGGCCCGAGCTCACTGGAGTATGCTCAAGCACGACCTGACGCGACGACCTTGCCAGATCAACCCACTGGCCCCGTATTCATCATGTCTGATAAGCAAGATACCTCCTGCTGTAACGTGTCGCGGAAAGAATCTGGTGAACTCTCTCTCACACACACACACACATACACATACTCACGACGCTCACATCGAGCCCCAACCTGCGCCTGTATCTCTCGAACACGCTTGTCCGTCGACCTGGATGCGAGTCAATTCGCGTCCCAAAAAGTGAGGCTGAATCACTTCACCTTCTTGCCGGAGAAGAAATCTGGCGTGTGCGAGAGGTCCGGTCTCCTACACACACTCAGAGGGCCTACAGTTTCGCCGGGGAACATGACGAAGCCTAGTCATCATCGTCGCGATGAATGTCTAGTTTCTTCTGAAATCACTCCAGAAATTAGGGCAAATCGATCAGGTACCCGGCTATTTGACATCAAAATTTGATAAAAGAGTCTATTTACTGTAATCTATTGTTTATCTTTCTGTATATTTATCTATCCATCCGGCATCCACCACAATGCTATTATCCCGTCAATTTTCGAGACAGTCGAAGCAAATGATACGACTTTCACATACACACGCTCTACAAGATTTTCTCTTTATGCACACTTATAGTTTAAGCTGGTCCCTTTTCTCTATTTGGCTTGGATTTGGTTTGTCTGTCAGAGAATAAATCATTTAATAGGCAAGGTAGTGAGAGATTAGGGCCATGGATAATAACCCCTTCTAGGAATGCATTGGTGATATGTTTCACTTGAATGTGATGCCTATGGAAATTGTGCCCCGATAAGTGTGGCTGATTTGGACACTCAGAAGCAAACAATTGGTATACCCAACATGTTAAAAGTCTCATTCAGAATCAGACACGAGGGCGACACGTGTACATGGGAGTGATTCTCTTACAATTAAGACTTACGAGATTAAAATCTTTGGCCATCTTGGGTCGCATCCTGAAAACAGTAGACCGCACGATGAGATTGAATTTCATACTGGAGAAAGTTTTTATTCAAAACCTGATGATCGTCTCAAAATCTCACTCATTACTTATAAAGTCTTAGGAGGGTCTACT